AGAACAGAGCCTTGGGGCACCCCACTACACACTTCCCTCCATGTAGATGTGGTTCCATTGAGGACCACTCGCTGAGTACGGCCGGTCAGCCAGCTACGGATCCATCTGGTGGTGATGCTGTCTACCCCACATTTTTCTATCTTGTCAAGTAGTAGGTTGTGATGTACTTTATCAAATGCCTTACTGAAGTCCAAGTAAACTTCACAATCTAACCTACAGCCCTGAAATTCCTTCATGTTCTGCTAAGTATTAATGAGGCCCAGTGTCTAATCATTAAGAATAGGTTAAGAATACTTAGATTATATGATCTTTAGAATCATTGTTCTGTTTTATATTAAATAATACAATTTGAACTTAGTCCTTTTCCCCAAGTTCTTTTACATAGAGCTATGGATCAGTACCTAATAATGACAGTGTTAAATTATGTTGACTTTATGTTATGTTGACTTAAAATATGGACTTTGTGTCACATATTTGTGCTGCAGTTATACTGTCCCAGTTAGGTGTGCCACATTTTAAATTCATCCAAAATATCTTCTTTTTCTTTCACCTAGTTTAAAAGACAGACCACAGAGAGGTGTGAGAAAAACGAACTTCTTCTGCTCTGCTACCCTCCTGAAAGATCTATCTTACCTAAATAATAGAACTCATCCCTACAAATACAGACTAGGACCAACATAATTTCCCCCGAACAGCCAGCCAGTCAGAGGATTTCCTGCCTTGTAGCTCTCAATTTCTATAAAGCTTTGCTGTTCCACTGTTCAAGGTCCCTCTTTCTTGTAAAGCAGTCACCCAATGATCATTACAGTAAACATGGTTCTTGTCTTAGTGTTGTGTTGTATAGATGTCTTCAATACAAGAAAGTAATAGTAGATTGTACTATTATATTGTACTCTGTGCAAGCTGTGCAAATGTCCAATTCCAATATCCTTTATTATTTTCATACAGCAGTAGTCATCTGTTGTATACATAATAGGGATAGCAATAAATCTAGATTCTTGAAAAACTCAACCCTGCCTTCAATAGCCAGCTAATAGCAGAGGTTTTGTAGACTTAACATGGGTTGATGGGTAGTTTTATTGCAAACAAGAAAGCAGCCACGCATACACACAAAATCTGTCTATTGTACATCTTAGAAGTTAAGCCACACATATACTGTATGTCTGTCTGTCTGCCTGCCTGCCTGCCTACCTGCTTCCTTCAAGATTTAAATTGTATGTCAATTTCTCCCATGCTTCCAATTAAATGGACTTGATATTTTTCCCCAGCCTTGAGAGCCAGAGTCATTTGTTCCAATGTCTCTATCTGCCCTGAAAATATTTCTTCCATGCCTTGCCATTTCATCCTTTACATTGGGAAAGGTTTCTACCTAACCATCTGTATTTTTTGGCACTTCCTCCATGATTGCCAGGCTCTCATTCAAACAACCTAATTGGACAGCTATGAGGGAATGCAGCCACCCTGGGACAGTTGTTCCATAGCATGCTCACCCCAATAAATACTCATTTTCTTCAGTGGCACATAGACCCAGGCAGCCACTAATCGCTCAACTAAACAATTATTGTTCTGGGTTATGGAGTAATAATATTTACTGGTAAGGTGTCAATCAAGCAAAACGCAAGCTGCCAGAGAATGTGGAACTGGGAAGCCTGATAGTATACTCTAACAGCTATGATGAGCTTTTAGGGTGCGATGTCTATCCAGTGTGTGCTTATTTGTGAAGAAGTATCCTAGCCATCCCATGAATCTTGCCATTTTATATCAGTCTATGAGAGATGTAAAGTACTTGCAGAAATTGTCTTGCTTTGCTTCTGTTGTAAGTAGTACTTTCTAGAAGGAGGCTACATATTCTCATGAGCATAGTACAAACAGGCTTATATATATTAGAAATTTCAATTTTGTGCAAAAATACTTATAAACTTTATTATGAGAATGGTCTTTTTATCTAAGTTAAAGCCTTTTGCATCATAACTCATGGTAATGAATATGCATATCAGCTTCACTATATTTGGATTAATACATACTCTATTCACACATAGGAAATTTCTTCACAGCTAATGGTGTTTTCATATCTTCACTCAAAGGAAGGCCATCCAGTAGAAATAACTGCTGACCAAAAGAACATTTATTTCTTCAGCTACTTTGAGTAAAATGTTTTAACTAGCCAGTTGCCAGAGTAGATAGGGTGGCGACAGTGGTGATGATAATACAGTATTATAATTTATATCAGAATGGCAAATGGCTATTGAACAGGGTGGATTGGCAGGAGACATTTGAAGAAAAGCTCTAGGTTGCTCAGTGTAACAACTAGAACTAAATAGTGAATTAATTTTATTCTAATTTTGCTACTATTTCTACCAACCTGTGTAAATGACAACCACATTGGATTTTAACTAAAAGGAAATTCTAGAGTGTAAATTTTTGTGTCAGTTGTTTATTGATATATTGACTTATGAATAGTACTATAAAATAATGCAAATACTATCTCACTATATCAATTCTGTGTCACTGTCACTTGAAAATGGTCACTTTTGGTGCAGACAGATAAATCTCAATTTAATTTTAAATCTGGAATCAAGTCTTATTTTCCAGAATAGAAATTACAGAATAATTCTGATCTGATTCTAAGAATATGAAAGTAGAAATAGGGAGACCCTAGATTCAAAATAATGCTCTCAGAGTGGTTAGCGTGTGGGTTGAATGTGGTTGAAATGATGTTCACTGCTCTGAAATTCAACCATTCAAAGTTACGATGTAACTTTGAAAAAGTAATTTTACCAATGGTTCTTGCATTTGAAACCATTGCAGTTTCCCCACAGTCCAATGATCAACTGGTGGGCCTTTATGACTGTTGTTGTGTCCCACAGTCATGTGGTTGTCATTTGCATGTGTCATAGTCAGTTTCCAACAAACAGAGTAAACAGGGAATACAGCAGTAAAATTTCAAATAATTGTGACACAATGTCTCACTTAATGACCATGAATGATTCTTTAACAACCAAGCAGAATTGAGGGCATAGGTCTGCTATGGACATGTGATATCTCCTTTAACAAATGTGTCATTTAGCATTGGAATTGCCAGTCCCAATTGTAGTCTTGTACAAGAACTATACATAATGAAATATGGCCAGTTTCTAAAATAATGAATAATGATCCTCACTACTAGTGTTTGGAAAAAGATAGGGCACTCTGTTCAGGCAAGCAGACATTATGTTTTTTGTATTTTAAAAAAAGTAAAAATAAATCCTGTACTACATGTGTAAAAGCTTCTACATCCAGAGAGTAGCAGAGAAAAGCTCTGGTTCTTACCTTGTTTCATAGGCAAATTGTGACTTAGGGAAAACTCACATATTCTTTTTAATTTTCCATTATAGATGAGCACATTCCCTTCTAGATAATTGAGTTTGTTATTTAGTTTAGGGCTAGCTTAAGCCCTGTTGGTGACAGGATTCTCTTTGCTCCCATCTCTCTTTGACTCAGGGTTAACAGCCTGTTATATGAAAACATAACTATTACCAGGGAAGTCTGAAAATATAACAAAAAAATCCTGAATTAGAGTTCTATCCCGTTTAGGACTCCAAAAGCATAGAGCTAGAACAAGTGGACTGTGTTAATAAACTGTGTTAATTTGTGCTGAATTTGAATTTTTGGATTTGCCAAAAGAGGAAGACATTTCTCCGGCAGTGTCTTATCCATTAAGTGCATTTGTAAGCTGAGGCAATGAAGAATTATATTTTGAGTGAACCCTTACCAGTACCAGAAGCCAAAATCCCAGACAAATAAGAAGTCTGTCATTTGGGGTTGGTTTATTTTTAAAGGAAACAAATGAACAGATAAATAAAACTGATGGCATTGTCACTTTGACTGAATCTTCCACAAATTATAAAAGATTAATAGAGGATATGCTGATTATCTTTCAGCAGATGAATTCTAAATTTGCTCAAAAGCAAGATGAAAGAAATATTTTAAGAAGGTATGTGATGAACCCCTGATTTAGTTTAGCAAAAGTGCAGCGCAGTGACTCATGTGATGCTAGGCTGACAATTGGCAGGCTCGCATTGAAAACCCGGTTGCCACATGATGAGGTGAGCTCCCATCATTCACTTCAGCTCCTGCTGACTCAGCAATTTGAAAGCAGGGGACCATGAGCAAATAGATGGGTACCACTTCAATGGGCAACCTAACTGGGACAAAAAGGAATCCCCAACTGAGTATCCCCAGCTAATCCTTTCTCCCCGGAAGGACTTCTGTGTTCCCAATATGAATGTAAGAGTAGTTTAACAAAACAAAATTGTTTCCTTGGGTGATACTAATCCTAGATTATCTTGTATTGCTAACAAGATGGCTACATTTTTATAGTTTGTAATTTGGACTATTGTCCAAAATTTCCTATCTTCTCCAGTTATGATTAATACTGAAAACTGTTTGATGGCTTTTCCCCATTCTTCCCTGTCTTTTGTTGCTATTGCAATCAAAGCATTTATTGCATCTCTTTCAGTGAAAATTTCTATCAAGAATCAGGAATTACAGAAGAAAATATAATTGATGGTTCTTAATTTCTTAATGATATAAATTTGTGTTACCATCATAACATTAAGATCTTTACCTCTGAACATAATTTAAAAACTAATGTGTAGTAAAGTAAGCAGCAAATTGTACAATGTAATTTGATTTTTCTGTTAAGTAGTTTTTGCAGAATATTTTTAAAGCAAGCCATGTATGGTTTTGCAATGAATATTTTGTTTTAGGAAATGCTTTAGTGCCAACTCTAATTTAACTGTGACCCTATCCAAACTTAATTTCAATAAAAAGGGGGAAATACTCCAATCTGTATGAAAATAATTACTTTTTTAAAATGTATTTAACACATGAATGACTTTAACAATACATATCTTGACTTGATAATATAAATACTTTATGTCAATAAAGTTCCTGTTTAAGCAACATAACACAGTGCTAATGTATCTTTTCTTACAGATGTTCGTAGAAGAACAATCTATGAATATCACAAAGTGGAACTTCAGATGTCCAAGGTTACCAATCTGTCAGCTGTTGAGATGATTCCTCTACCCAGTAAGTTATATTTAATATGCAGATAAAACACTACATTGTTAAAGGCTGTGTTTAAAACATGCCACTTTTCTTTTATAGCATTTGTAATGCATAAAAAAAGAAATATTTTATATTGTTGGCCAATAGAGTAAAATTACCTATATCTGTTGATGTTTAAATCAACACAATAATATAATGGTGGATATAATGTGCTATATATTTATATTTCTACTTTACATGGTAAATCCCATGTTTTACACAAAATGTCAGTATTATATAGGTACTAATCTTTGTGTATCTACATTATTCTTATATATAAATCGATTTCTTATATAGTCATTTCTCAGTCATTTATTTTTTTCTTCCATATGTGTGTTTATGTGTGTAATTGTAAGTTTATTCAGTAGGTTCATACTTTTTGATAAAATAAAATCTTCTCAAATATTACTTTTGACCAAGCTACATTAGGCTGATTTGCACAATATATTAATCCATAGGTGACATACCACTGTGAATAGGTTCAGAAAATATGTTAAGTGAAATCTAACAATAAGGCATTATGGGATGTGAATCTAATTATAGTTTAATATTTTAAGTAATAGTATATATGTTGATTTTGTTTATGTACCATCTTTCTGCAACATGGCACTCTCAAGATACATTACCTGTGCTGACTACAGGAACATGAGCATTAATTTTCACTAGTTTTTACAAGTACACCAGGTTGGAGACAGCCGTGATATACCTTCTCTAGGGATCTTATTTTGCCTGATTTTGTTTGAAGGTGACATGGAATAATCCATAGTGTGCTGGCCTTAAATTAAATGTACAAAAGTTCATAATGCAAACACTATGATAGAGCTCACTGTTTCATCTTGAATGAACTTCGCGTGTCTCACAGAGTAAGCTACATTTACATCATCAGGCCCCCTCTATTATGGTGATAACAACTGAAGCTTCTTAAATACCTGTTCCACTAACTTTCCTGGCCATTTTTATTCATTCAGTTCTTCTCAGCAGCTATGTTCACAGGGGTGGGAAAAAGACAAACAGTGATAAAATCAATGTCACAGTGCAAGCCTTGCCTTTTTTGTACATGTGTTATGACAGTACATACACATTCAGAAGTGTCATAACTAGCAGTATGATATTGTTTTCATCATTTTGACAAAACCAGTGGGAACTTGCAGATACCCATGGAATTATAGAGAAATGCTATAGTCTTTGAAATAAATTGAGGGGCTTTGAGAAAATTATATCCATAAAAGAGAGGCAAACTTGGTTCAGATGTTAGTACCTTCAGCATTATATCAGAACACCAATCCTCACAATTTTTAAGGTGTAATTTGTAATATAGAATTGTGGATAGCATCTGACTGATTCCTTCATCCATCTATTTTCTTGATATTTCCACTGTCTGGTTGCTTTTTTTACAGCTTTATTATAGGTTTACTTACTTGATTGATTGCCATAAGTTCTATATTTGTTACTCTGTGTCTTAAGATACTGATAGCCATCTGCTTGCCCTGCTCATATCATTAATATATATCTATATATGACACTTTGCTATCTCAAATTTCTTACATTGATTGAAACAAAGCTTCATCAATGAACTCTGTGGAATTTGTTTGTTTGTTTGTTTATTTCAAAAGTGAAAAGGTAATAGATGCACCTAGCAGATCAAGAGGTCTCTGTCAAAGATTGGCCATCCATTTATTATTTATTTATTTATTTATTAATTATATTTCTACCCCACCCTTCTCCCTGCGGACTCAGGGCGGCTTACAACCATTCAAAAACAAATACACAAATACAAAAATGCCAAACTCAACATGCCAATTAAAATGAAACATTACTCTAAAACCGAAAATTCATTTTAAATTATTTTAAAACCAAATTTAAATAACCCTTAGGCCAGTCCTGCTAACTTGAATAGCCATGTCTTGAGGGCGCGGCGGAAGGAGGGGAGATCCGGAATCACCCGGATCTCTGGGGGTAGCTCGTTCCAAAGGGTGGGAGCTTCGACAGAGAAGGCCCTCCCCCTGGGGGTCGCCAGCTGGCACTGTCTGGCTGACAGCACCCTGAGGAGACCCTCTCTGTGGGAGCGTATCGGCCGATGAGAGGTAATCGGAGGCAGAAGGCGGTCTCGGAGATAACCAGGTCCGATGCCATGGAGCGCTTTGAAGATGATAATCAACACCTTGAAGCGCACCCGGAAAGCCACCGGCAGCCAGTGCAGCTCGCGTAGCAGCGGCGTTACATGGGAGCGACGAGT